TAATTCTGGGGTTAAAGGCGAACATACACTGCTTAAATTCTATGGTAACTAGTATGGCTACTGGGATTAAATGTGTGTGTTACCACTGCTGACCAGTGGGGCTGTTTCACTCTCTGAACTTCAGGCAAGCTTTATTTATTAAAATACAAATGAAAGGCCACTACACCCTAGCCCTCATTTTTTTGGCTGACGAGCAGTAAAATGACTTGTGCCGTCATTATTGAAATCTTTCTATCTAACTCATGGGAAACAATTTTAAAGGTATCTTGACTTCAAAATTTTAGTTTAAGGATATGCTACTTTGGAGAAGTGGTTCCGCTTTTGCTTCCGCAGAAGAGGAAAACCTGCTGATTACTTCTAGACTATTATGGTTTGATGGAACAAGACCCCTGAAAGGTCTCCATGAACCTTAAAACTACTTCACCCAACAAATAGCAGGAAGAAGTTTGGAAAGAACTATGCCCCAATTCCCAAAATGATTGTTTATAAATGTTTAAAGGGGATTGATTAAAAAAAAGGGGTGTGTGTATGATATAATATAGGAATGAACACTTTACCTTGGTATGGACTTTGGTTTATTGACATAAATTTAAGATCAATTTTGTATATGTATATTTCTACTCTTATTTAAGGTATTATGTTTATACAGCTCATTTAAAAATATAATGTATAATTAAAAATACATATAATTAAAAATAGATAATTATAATAGTCAAACTTGTAGTCATATTAGATAGGTTTTCTAGATATACAGAGATATATTTCAGATGGATAGGTATTCTTCAAATCTTTCAAAGCCCTACAGAATATGGCATTTAAAAGGTTTCCAGAACTTAGACTTTTCTTGACAGTGAGACATGTCTGCTTCTGGCAGCACCAGTTCCTTCAGAGAGGTTGATGGGGATTGAAAAAACTCATTATGGAATTTGCCTTCAATATGACAAGGCTAGCTATTTTGCAAGAAACTGCTTGATGGTATGCTGTATGAACTGGACATGCAGGACACACAAAAAAGTGACTGCTGAACTTTCCAAAAGACGGTCCTTCAGGATTCCTGCTTCACACACTCACAAAAAAAAAAAAAACCAAAAAACCAAAAACACCCTGCCAGACATTCTACAGAAAACAGAAGAAAGAGAAAGAAGGAAAGAAAGAAACTGACGAACTTTGCCCAGTACAAGGCAAAACAGGTCTTCAAATTTCCTGCTTCACTGAAAAGTCTGCCAGATATTATGGGCCTGTAGGCTGAAGATGGATGATCCAATGTTACAGAAGAATTTTGGGTGACTGTCCAGGCAGCAAGAAGTCTCTGCCAATTGTAGAACTTTGGAAGTTGTTTACAATGCACTTCCTGTTTACTTAGATAATATTATATCCTTGTAGGGTCTTTGATGGAGTTAAGATAGTTATAGTTGGCTGGGCGGTGGGGGCGCACGCCTTTAATCCCAGCACTCGGGAGGCAGAGGCAGGCGGATCTCTGTGAGTTCGAGACCAGCTTGGTCTACAGAGCTAGTTCCAGGACAGGCACCAAAGCTAAAGAGGTCTCAAAAAACCAAAAAAAAAAAAAAAGATAGTTATAGTTAGTGTTCCTTAGTTATGATGAAAGATAAATTAAAATAAAGCTTTAAAGCTTTAGACTCACAAAGATAGGATAAATAGCAGAGTATTTTCCTTCATTTACCAAATATAAATAGACTAAATATTGTAACTATAATTCTTGCTTGATAAGTGTTTTGTTATATGTAATTTTGCTATGTTAAAGTTAAAACCTTTCTTTTTATTTAGACAGAAAAAAGGAGATTAATAGAAATAGGTTAAATTAAGATATAAGAGCTAGAAAAAATATGTACAAACCATTGGCCAAACAATGTTGTAACTAATACAGTTTCTGTGTGATTATTCGGGTCTGGGCAGTTGGGAAATGAAGGCGCAGTCTCTGCCTACACATAGGAAACAAGTCAGTAAGCGGCATTCCTCTGTGATCTGCTGTTCCTGCCACCAGGTTCCTGCCCTGACTTCCCTTCATAATGCACCATAATCTGTAAACTGAAATAAACCCTTTTCTCCCCAAGTTGCTTTTTGTCATGGTATTTGATCACAGAAAGGGAAGCCAAAATAAGTTCTCAACTCCAGACCTAGCTCTCCCCTCCTCCCATGTCCTTCCTGACCCAAATCAGCTTTGGTATCCTTTTTGTATTCAATAGTACAGATTCTCTCTGCCTGCATTGTGGGTGGAAGCAGTGGAAAGTGTTGTTCCTCAGAAGTCCCTAAGAGTGACTTTTCCCAAATAGAACTCAATGTTACCTATCTTGCCCTTTCTTTCCTTCCCTGGGAACCTAAAACACTTGGGGTCTCTGTCCCACTCCTAGAATTTCCTTGCTTCTCCTATTTGACTCTGGTCTTGAATCATCAGTCCCTCCAAGTGATCATTTCTGGCATAGCTCTTTGTCCACCCACGAGGGTCCCAGCAATCCGTGTTTCTCTTCCGTGAACTCCACAACCGAGCAGGCGGCTCCAGCATTGGTAGTAGTACCTCAGCGGGCTCCACTTTGGCTGGAAAAGTCCTGCGGGAGCCCGCTGACGTCCTGAAGATTCCTGGAGATGAGCCTGGTTCATAGCGGCGAGACAGAGTCAGAAGTAGTGTGTAGTGTATCTTAGATGTGTCCGGGGGATGGGCCACCGGGATCCATACAGGTCCAACAAGCCGCCAGTGGCCCTCATAGGACCAACAGCATCGTCTAATGTTCCGGTTGACTGCGGACGCAGCCACTTGAGCTGCACAGCACAATCCCCACTTCCACCCTACGAATCCACCTCCAGACTCACCTTTGCCAGTTGGCCACTTCCCCAAAGAGCCGCCTTCCTCTCTGGGTCCCGCCTCCTCCCAGACCCCACCCCTGCACTCCGCCTCTCCTTGCCTCCCTTTGGGACCCACTGAAACGCACCTCACCATTTAGGACACACCCAGGCTTGGACTGAGACATTGCCTTATGGAATAACGATACACAGTTGGTGGCGAGCAACGACCACCACCGCGGGCGCCGGCCACCGGTTCAAATTGAGGCTGCCTCAGGAAGGCTTGCGTCTTGACACGGCAGCGGCAACCGAAGACCAGAAGCTGAGACCGCGAGAACGGGTGGGGAGGGGAAGCGCCAGCGTGCAAAGGTGCACCGGCACCAGGTCCCTGCCTCAGAGTGAGCACTGGGAGGAGCCAGAGTATCTGAATGGCGGCTTGAGGTCAGCCACAGCCACCAACCTGAGTGGTACCTGCCGCCCGCAGCATCTTGGGTGCCTGGGGATCTCGACGGGGATCAGGACCGGGTACCATAATAACCTGGGCTCTACAGGTGGCTAGGGAAACCCGAGGTGCCATTTACTGCCTGACCATGACTGAAGCTGTGAAAAGCATCCCAGGAGCTGCTCCTCAATTCAGACAAGCCTGGGTGCCAGCCGTGGGAGGAGCATTTGGCGATCCCAGGGTCCTGGCCCGGTTCCAGGATTGTGATAAGTGACTACATGTGGATCTGTGTGTGCCACAGTTCCCGACATTGTGTAGTTCTGTGTGTGACCTTAGCGACAACGATAGGGATAGTCTGAGCCTGACTTGACCTGTCCTTTAACCTGGTCCGTGTGATGATTCAGCATTGTTTTGGTCACAGGGCATAAGGCTTGTGGAATGACAGCGCATGTGACATGTGAGATGCTCATGTGACCGTATGGAAATTCTCACATACCTGGCCCTCCCAGTGACATGAGTGTGACTCCACATGTGTGCATCACTATGGATGACAGGATGCAATGTCACTAGCCCATGGGACATGGAAGAACCTTTCCCCGTCACGGGTGGTCTGTGACTTTCTGGCATCTTCAGTAAAGTTCTCAGTTCTGTATCTACTGGCATTGGGGTCAGGGGTGTATTAGGATTCCCCTGCTCCCCGCAGCTGGATCCAGATTCTCTAGGACCTCTGTAAATCTCCTCTCTGCCCTAACCAAAAGCACAGCTGGTTAGAGGAGGAAGTAGCTGGACCTTGGTGTTAGAGGTGAGGAGGCTGAGACCTGCCCAAGCTGGAACTGGCCTGGGCTCTCCTGGTCATACTCAACCTTGTAGTACAGAATTTCTAGGGCTAATGGCAGAACCTGGGTGGCTGTGACCCTCATGACATTAAACTTTGCTGTTTCAGTATCCAGGCTTGCCCAAAGAAGGCTGGGGTCTGCTGGAAGGGTCCTGTGGTCTATAGGTTTTCGGATCACTACAGGTTCTCAGCTTCACGGTGTTGGGTAGCAGCCAAGTCAAGAGTTGTCCTTGCCCTTCTGAAGCCAGTAAGGATGAATGCTGGCTCCTGCCCCCTCCCAGCTTTGGTCCTACTGTGATCCAGTCAGGTCACCTGGGTGGAGGTTGGATTGTGGGAATATGGAGTGGGAGACTAACAGGACAAACCTGAATGGTGGGGGATGAAGAAGAGGTACACAGAGAAACAGTATTTATACAAAATAATTTATTTTGAAATGTACCGTTCATAATGGCCAGAGACAGAAGACACATCCCTGCTGTGAATGGGCAGAGGTGCCCTACCTTTCCACTGTCACTCTTATTAAGAGAACTAGCTGCTCAGCGTCCCCACTGAGTGGAAGGGTCCAGCCCTTCCCAAAGAAAGGAACTAGGAAAGACCCTGGTAAAATGTCTTGAGAAAGAAAGGAGCGGGGGAGGAAACTTCAGTCAGGGTATAAAATAAATAAATTTAATTAAAAATAGAAAGGATGGCAAACTTCTGCCTTTTGGGGACTTCGGTGTGTCCAGGAAGGTCCTGGGTTCCTTTCCCCATCTGTATGACAGGGTCAGAGGGCAGTTTCTGGAGCCCTTAGATGCCTGTATTTCTTTTATTTTTTTTTTAAATATTTATTTATTTATTATGTATACAATATTCTTTCTGCGTGTATGCCTGAAGGCCAGAAGAGGGCACCAGACCTCATTTCAGATGGCTGTGAGCCACCATGTGGTTGCTGGGAATTGAACTCAGGACCTTTGGAAGAGCAGGCAACGCTCTTAACCACTGAGCCATCTCTCCAGCCCGATGCCTGTATTTCTTAGAGGCTTTGAAGACCTTTTTCTTCCTATTGGCACCTAGCCCTAGAGAGTGAGGGACACATACATGTCCTTGGTTCTGGGAAACCAACTCCCAAAGCTGCTGTGTCCTTGACCTTGTTAGGTCAGGATCCATCCATGGAGCAAGCAGGACAGTTGGCCTGGACAAAGTGTTGATCCTATTTGTTAGCTAGGAGCCCAAAAAAGAGCGTGTCAGTAGTTGAAGTGACAGCAGCAGTGATTACAGATGGCCGGTTAATGCATCGCAGATTTCCAGTTTTGAATGCACAGTGCACAGGCCAGAGGACCACACAAAATAGCAACAGCAACAGCACAGAAACTAGTGCTACCTGACGCCAGTCTCCAAACCGTGTCCAGCAGCGGGCCAGCCAGCCTCGCCTGGGTTCAGGGGGGTCCTGGATAGGTGCAGGCAGTGTGGGTTCCGCTGGTTTGCTCAGGCCTACATCCACACACACAAAGTCACTGACCCCTTGGCCAGAAGTGGTGGACAAGGGGCGGCAACACAGTTTGGTGCCCTCAAGCCACACGGGCTCCTCTCTCTGCAAGTGCACCGGCATCTTGGCCTGCAGCTGACGGCTGGTACGTAGCGCAGGAGCCCCAGCAGCAGGTACAGTGGTGGGCTGCCGGCAGAATGGGCAGGGTACAGCTTCTCTGCCAGGACGGCCTGCAGGCTGGGCAGCTGCCAGCCTAGCCAAACACTCAAGGCAGAAGACATGAGTACAGGAGAGCTCCTTGGGTGTCTTGAAGATGTTGTCATAGCCTGAGAAGCAGATGGAACACTCCAGTGGGGAGGCCACCTTCTCTGAGCCAGGAGTACTGGGGGTCCTGGGGCTCCCAACTGGGACGGGCGACCTGGGGCTCCCAACTGGGCCGGGCGACCTGGGGCTTCCAACTGGGCCGGGCGACCTGGGGCTCCCAACTGGGCCGGGCGACCTGGGCACCGTGGCTGTGGAGCTGCTCTGGCGGTGAGCTGTATACCACACCCGCGGGCCTGATGACATGATTCTGAGCTGTGGAACAGAGACAGGCCGTCACGAGCTGCCCTTTTCCTGGAAAGTCAGTCTGTCACACCAACCTCTTCTCTTCCCCTGCATCAGACCCAAAGATTCCAATGAAGGACACTATCTACCTAAAGGCACCTCCAAAATCCCACCCACGGCCAATCTGTAACTTAGCCTGCTCCATTCATTACAAGGTCAACAATCCCATGGTATGCCAGGCATGAACAGTCTAGATGGGTTTCAATAGAGGCCATGTGCTAGGGATGGCCAACATGGTGGCTGGACACCTGTTGCCCATCCTTACCCATGTTGATGAGAGTGGCCCACTACGGCTACCATTTATGTCTATTCTCTACAAGGCTGAACCCATACCAAAGAACACTAACAGGTCCCATATGGAGAAGTCATCTCCAAAGTAGAATGACTTAGCTAGGGGCTTCTGTACCAGACTCAACTGGACACTGGGCCCTGGCAGGTTCATGAGCTACCTGTGGCTCTGGAACAAGGAGTGGGGGGTTGAACTTGGTCCCAGTGTGGGTCCCTGATTTGTATGGCAACGTCTGAGTTGCCAGCAGATATATAAGGATTCTGGGGTGGTTGGGAGAACACGTGGGCCCATAAAGCTCTGAGAAACAGAGGCCTGAGTTTCTAACAGCTGCAGCCTGGAATCTAGGGGTAGCTTGTTTGGTAGGGATAAGGACAAGTGCCAGAACCCAGAAACAAGTGCCAGGGGTTAAAAATGATCCTTAGTCAATGGCCAGAGGAATGAGGCTGCTTCAGACATGCCCACTCATACTCTTGTGCAGTCAGAGAGACGAACAGACAGACAGACAGACACAATCACCTGCCCTGTTCTGCCAATATCAGAATCATACAGATTCCTGTCCAGTGGGATGTGGAAGATTCAGGCCTTCTTTGATCCCTTCCCCTACTTCCCTGGGAGGAATGCTAGAAACACACTGACCTCCCCTGGACAAGACTGCCACTTCAGGAGCCACGGGCATCCTGATCACAGCACAAGCATTGGCCTTATAACCCATGGAGACCAGCAGTCATGGCAGAGATAACCCCTCTCCCTGCCTCACTGGTCAACCCTGAGTGGGTGAGTAAGTAAAACGGCTCAAGGATTGCTGAGTCATCACTGGGTCCACGTGAGTCATCTGACATCACTGTGACATCAGGAGGGCTCCAGCCTTCTGGCATTCGAAGTCACCACTTCCTGGAGGCAGCAGCGGCCTTGACAGGTCTGACAAAGTCTATCCTCCTCTGACCTGCGCTGTTCATATGATTGATTCCTTGGCACCAGGCCCCACCTTCCATAAAGGGGCCTCACCCCGAGACTGTATAGGTGAAAAGTTGAGCTGACCTTACCTGGTAGCCAGGAGTCAGCAGTTCCTGAGCATGATCCTCTTCCCTGGTCACAGCAAAGCTCTGCGCTTCTAGGTTGACTTGTTCCCCCTCCTTCAGGTCCGGCCCAGCCTCTGCTCCACCTGGCAGGTGTTCCTCCACAGGCCAGCAGCCAACAGCCTTCTGTGGTACCGGTCCAGCTGGAGCACCTCTTCTGTGTACGTGGGAATGGAAGGTACGATGTGTGTGTTCATCCAGGAGCTGGCTGACTGCGACAGGTGTGAATTCTCAGGCCATGAGCTTTGAAGCAGGTTTATTTATACCTTCTAGGTAACAGCAGCTGGGGGTGTGGCCCTGAACACGTTAGACATCAGAGATTGGCTGGTCTCTCCCTGGCAGGCCCAGAATGGGTGTGGAGCCAGAATAGGTCCAGGATCAGCACAGGCTGAGTCTTAGGGCTCAGGACCGAGAGTAGACGCTCATGTATTCAGATAAATCCCCTCTCCTTTGGAAAGCAAGTGTGCCCACCTGGTCCCAAGTGTACTCAGCAGGGACCCTTCACTGAGCCTAGCACACACTCAGACACACTCAATTTGCACTTTTCTGTCCCATCAATGTCCTGCCCTTTCTTCTCCCATCTCACCTATATTCTCACAATTGCTTCATGCAAAACCCTCATCTGCTGCTGCTCCAGCACTCTGCTGCCTTTGGGGAACTTGTCTTGGAGCCCAGGAATAGAGGTGAAAGGTCATGGCTAGGCCGGCCTGGGCAACAGCCTAGATGGTGGGTCAAGAATATTAGGGATGCTGGGAGGATGTGGTGCACACCTTTAGTCCTTTAAACTCAGAAGGTAGAGGCAGATGAAACTCTGTGAGTTCGAGGCCAGCTGGTTTACAGAGCTAGTTCCAGAACAGCCAAGGCTACACACACACACTGTCTCAAATAAACAAATAAATAAATAAATAGGAGCCCAGGTTGGCTACAATAGTTTGTGGGTACCTGCTTGTTCCAGACTTCAGGAAGGATCAGGTGTTCTTGGAAAGAGGGAATCTCAAGAAGCTTTGCCCAGGTGACACAGTAGAAGTATTGGTCAAAGAGTTGATGGACAAGGAGTGTCTAGGGATGGGGTAGGGAGTACCACACTGGAGTGGGATGAACTGGACGCTGTGAGCAGGAGCATAGGCAGTTCTTGGCCTGCTCCAGGGCCAATGAGCTGAGATGTTCTTGTTGACCAGATGCAATAACACCGGTGGTCTTTTCTCTTCTCCGCCCACTTTGGCCAGGCCAGTTCTTCCCTATCCCTGAGATTTAGTTGTCTTTTGACCAAGCACAATGAACTGTGGGGTCCTGAGATGGTAGCCCCCACATAGGATTGTGGGGAGGGTATGTTGCTGGGAGGGACCTCATGTGGATAGAAGGAATAGCTGTACTCAACTACCCAAAAGTACCCACTGACCACCCAATGGTCCAGATCCCCAAAGGCTGCCATAATTTTGCTCTTAGATATCTGTATGATCAAGGCCAACTCTGAAGGGAGCTAAGATATGGGGGATTGTGGGAACCTGGGGACAATGTCCTATCAGAGGAAGGGGGCCTGGGCATTGGAAGAATTGAGGTTCTCCTGCCTAATTCTTATGAGTACTAGTAATCAAAAATGGGGCCCAGGGAATTAGGGGCTCAAAGGAAAATGGAGGTCCAGAGAGGAGGTGGGTACCTAAGGAGGGTGTCCTTGAAGGGACCAGGACTGTAGAGGGCATGAGCTACTGAGGGCCCAGTCCACGTGTTCTGTGTAGAGTGTGACTCTGTGTCACAAGCTGCCTCTAGGAAGCTAGAGTCTCAGATGCTCTGGGAACAACCTTCAGAGGGCTCCTGGGAATATCCAAGCTCTGAGGTCACCAAGGCTCCCCAGTGAGCAGTCAATGTCCAGAGGCAAGTATGCTGTGAGACCTTAGGAATCTATTAGGCTTCTGCCAGGCCTAACCTCAGGGGAGTCAACTCCCTGCTGACAGAGGGACCAGGCTTTGGAGGCGCTCCAGCCAGTATAGGAAAAACTCAGACTACACTGTCAAGGGCAGTAAGTGGGGTCCATCTTGACCTGATCCTAACCTGCAGGCAAGTCAATGTGTGGGTGTGCACATCAAAATACCACCACCATTGAGTGTGTGCATGCATTTGTGTGAGCATGTGCCCATAAGGTTAACCTTATATCCTATCTTCTCACTCTGGGCCCCACAGCCCTAGGGGTTCCCTCTCTAGGAGAGGCTCTTATTGACCCCATCCTTGTACCAAAGTGGTCATAGCTTCTCAGTAGTACCCTAAACCTACCCTGATAACAGTCCTCACCACCACAGCTACCGACTTGGCTGCAAGTCCCTGATACACTGTTGGGAAACAAGATATGGCTAGGGTGCGAGGTCTTTTAAGACTAGGACTTTTTCTTTTAGGTTCTCAGTCTTAGGCCCACCCCTCATCTCTGCTAACCATTCTGCTGTTTTCCAAACAAGAGATATCAGAGGTTGGCTGCATATTCTCACTTGGTACTGGCTTCCCTATGGCCAGAATTCCTCCTAAGACCTCAGCTGCTGAGTAGAAACTGGTTTCCCCACAAGTAGGTGGAATTGGTGCTGAGATGGAACAGGCAGACTCTGGGGTAGGGGGTGCCATTTGGTTTGGCATTTTGCCCCATCTTTTAGGGCTGCATGTAGACCTGGTCTGTTTAGACATAAGGCAGCCTGACCAATGGTGTCCTTCTGTATCTCCAGCAGTGAAGACAAGGTCTCCAAAGACCTATCTGTGGCACCAGGGAGCCAGACTGGCAGCCACTTTCTCATTGCTGCCTTTCGTGGTTGCTGCCAACATCTCTTTCCAATTCTCATTAGAAATCCTTCGGGAGAACCCTAGGCTAAAGCACCCAACCTTGCTTTAGGCCCAGGGTATCAAGCTGCTAAAAAACAACAACAACAAAAAAAACCAAGCCAAACCAAAACAAAACAAAAAAGGATGCTGGGTGAGACTCCATCTTGTTGCTTATACTATTTCACACCCTTCCCCAGGGCAAGTTCTTTGGTTTCAGAACAAAGGATCTAGGTCTGGAAACCTACACCTTAGCCCGACAGGATCTTACTCCCCACACTTTTCTGAAATACAGCCAAGGGTAGAGGGATGATCATTTCAGGTTTCTGCAGATGTCTTGGGCCACAGCCCTCTAACCAGTGCATAAAGATAGCCACAGAAGTCACAAAGCAAGGGCAGTGTCTGAGTGTGACACTATGACCTCAGCAACTCATATAAAGGATTTAATTAGGACTTGTTTCAAAGGTTTAGTCCATTATCAGCGTGGCAACACACAGACAGACATGGTGCTGGAGAAGAAGTTGAGAGTTCTACATCCAGGTCCACAGGCAGCAGCAGGAAGAGAAAGTCACTGGACCTGTAGAGCTTTTGAAACCCAAAGCCCACCCCCAGTGACACACCTCCTCCAGCAAACTCACACTTCCTAATCCCTCTCAAGTAGTGCCTCTCCCTAAAGACTAAGCATTTAAGTATTTAAGTCCATGGGAGGCATTCTTATTCAAACAACCATAGGCAGGACGTCTAGATACTACGGTCTCATTCTGCACTCTTTAGTTCCTCTACTAGTCAGCAGACAGACATTTCCACATCTACGCACTGGCTTTGAGTGGAACCACTGAGCTGGACTCGGGTGGCCAGCACAGAGTCCTATTTTCCCAAAGGGTGCCCCCCACAAAGCCTAGTGATGTATTTGTAGTCTTTTTTTTTTTTTTCCTGGATTTTTGTTTGAGACAGGGTTTCTCTGTATAACCCTGATTATCCTGGAACTTGCTTTGTAGACCGGGCTGGCCTTGAACTCAAAAATTCACTTGCCTCTTCCTCCCAAGTGCTAGGATTAATGGTGTTTGCCACCACATCCAGCTGCATCTGTAGTTCTCTCTGAAGGGCCATCGATTGGCACCTTCTATCTCAAGTCCTAAGGAGCGGGGTAGTCACCTCATACAAGACAGTGTCCCGAACATGTAGAACAGGCCAAGGCCACATGTGGGGATGGATTGCTGTATTGCCTGTCCCAACAGGTAACAGGTGGCAGGTCCTGGACCCTGCTGAAGGGGTTCTCTTTGCCTTCCTGGTTCTGTCCCCTGAATATGGCAATGGGGCAGGTGTCCCACACACATTGAATAGATGACCAACCCCTGGATAGTAAGGCTAGAGAAGAGAATATCTAGTCTAGTTTAATTGGTCCAACTTTAAATCACTGCTGCTACCTTAGCCACTGGTTCAAGTCTGGGAAAGTAAGCTCACATCCCTGTTAATAAGATCAGATGTGGGCCAGATGGTGAAGATGTTAGACATCCTTGGGCCATAGAGGGAGGTGGCATTGGTTAACAGGGCACCTTCTTCCACAGGAGCATATGGCTAATGCTACCAGCCACAGGAGCAAAGACAGGACCGCTGGCCAGCATGCTCTCAACAAGCCCAGCGACACAAATGACCTGCAGGTGGCCAGATATGGGGGCCTCGTGGGTAAACATTTTGAGTATTCTGCCTGAAAGGTTTGGAGTCTGTCCCTGGGAGACTAGGTTCTGCTGGTCCCTAGAATCAGGAAACCCAGGACATTCAATTCTGCAACTCTCAGAAACATATGCCTCAGAGGTTAGCAGATAAATTATCAGGCCAACGCTGAAGCAACCTATCTCTGGTACCAGTTTCCAGGTTGTTTTCTCCACTCTCTGGACCTTGGTTTCATTCTTCTTAGCTTGATGGTGATGGAGAGAGTACTGTCTAACATGGGCTCCACTGGGTGGCCTCCAGATGTTTTGACCATTTGGATCGGCCTGTGTTGAAGCTGTTACAGATGCTGGAACTTTGCTGTGACTCCTGAGGGACCCAGACTCTTTATGACTTGTTCTTGAGTCCTCACGTCTCACAGATGGTTACTCCTGTTAAACCACGTAGTAAGGGTGGGACAGAAGATCTCATTACATAGAGGTTAGCTCTCCCTAGCAACTGTACATATCTGTCCCTGGGAGCCAACGCTGGCCTATCTTAAGCCCCAGGCCCTTTGTGTGTTGAGTTCACTGAAGGGGAACCTTGGGTCTCCAATGCTGTGCTGTGAAGTCTTAGTTGACCTCTGGGTCAGACGTTGCTGATGTGGGCCTCCACTGTGGAGAAGGCAGAAGGATCCCTGTTCTTGTCTGGGTGCTGCTCACGCCTGATGTATCTTGGCTTTCTCACTGAAATGGGGTTAGAAAAATAGGTAAAGTTCAGATCTTTGCCAGAACTATAGGCTCTCAGGAGCATAGTCAACAGTCACAGAGCACAAAGCCCATGTACGGAGTTTATTCTAGCAAGGGAGTGATGCCTACTAGGCTCCCTTGTGCAATGGTAGTGTCTTCTGACGGAGGCCCCCATGAGCTCAGCTGTTTCCTATCAAGACCCCAGAACTCCACACCCTGGTACCTGGGCCTAGATCAGAGCCCAGCTATTCCTTAAGACAGAAGCACAGACTGTATCTGCATTATTGCTCTACAGGGAGTTGGATGGCACTCTCTAAAGACAGGCTCACCCGAGTTTTGAAGTTTATGAACATAACCCTAACTTGAAAAAAGGTCTGTGCAGATGTGATTCTATTAGAATAGGCTTTGAATCCCATGACTATTATCCTCCTGAGAGGGAGAAAGAAACATGGATGAGCAAAGCCACAGGAGGTATGAGACACCAGGAATGAGACATGAAGGACTCCCTATCCACCAGGGACACACTTTTCTTGAAGTGGCTAGTGTGTGTCTTTTGCTGTGTGGTAGTGCAGGTCACTGGCAACACCTGTAAAGTACTCAGGGACAAGGCTGTATTGGAAAACTTGAGACAGGTACTAATTGGAACAAGGTAGGTCTGGCTTCATCAAGGAACTACTTTATCTTCAAAAGAGAGAAACACTCACTGGTTCTCCACTGTGGAGCAGTGACAGTGAAGACAATGAGTCTGCTCTGGGGCTTAGAGCTGTGCAACTATGGTCAGTCAACCTACCTGTGCTCGCGGCATCTCCTCCACAGTGGATTATAACTGCACTCAACCTACCTGTGCTCGCGGCACCTCCTGCACAGTGGATTATAACCCTATCTGTGCTTACGGCAACTCCTGCACAGTGGATTATAACTGCACTCAACCTACCTATGCTCACGGCATCTCCTGCACAGTGGATTATAACCCTATCTGTGCTTACGGCAACTCCTGCACAGTGGATTATAACTGCACTCAACCTACCTGTGCTCACGGCATCTCCTACACAGTAGATCATAACTGCACTCAACCTACCTGTGCTCACGGCATCTCCTACACAGTAGATCATAACTGCACTCAACCTACCTGTGCTCACGGCAT